TGTCCAAGACCCTGTCTCCTGTGTCTCGCTGCAGCGTACAAGGGCAGCACCAACGTCGGCTGAGTCAGTTGTGAGGTCTCACTATCCCACAGTAACATTAGCATACTTGTGGCACAAAGCCATCAGCAGACCCACATGCTCACGGCTGTGTGCTCCCTGTTCAATTTGTGTAGTTACTATTTAATGCACAGCATTATCCCACACGACCAGAGCAAGTAATAGGTTTTTGATTTTAGCTCGTCATTGAAGATTTAAAAAACACACAATATTTTAATAACATGTTAGAACAGAAATGCATTTTAAAGCTATTGAAAAAAAATACTAACTCCTCCATTCACTACTTTTTCTAAGCTATCCCCCAAACATGCTACAAAGTCTTCAAAGATCTTGTAATTATATATTTCCCAAAAGCACGGATGTTCTTGAGGAAGGGTTTCTAAGAGAAAGGGCAAAGCAAGGACTGATACTCTGGGAGTATTTAGGAAAATAACTGCCAGTGGATTATTTCTATTAATGGCTTATCAGAATTTTCTCAAAGGTGTTTTTATTAACTTACAGTCGGACCTAAAAACATCTCAACAGAGCAGCATAAAAACACAAGCACAAAGCACATGAAAACATTAAATGACAGGTCTAATGAAAAAGAGCAATGAACCAAATGGGAAAACTATACATAGCCATCAGCACAGACAATGGCTAAGTATATAAACCATTAGTGAGGCTTAAACATTGACAGAAACAGACTGATTCATCTGTTACCAATTTAGCTACAATCTAAACAGCAAGAGCAGGAAAAACCTGGTGGGAGGGGGGCTTAAATGGATGGAAGCAGTGAAACGTACTGTAGCCACAGTCATCTCTAAAAAGGAATCATCTCAGGTAATGACCCCCAGACAACAGCTTCCTCTCTGACTGAGAATAATTGGCCCAACCAAGCGTTAATACCAAGCTATGACTGGGATGAAGAAACCAAGTACAAAGAATGAGGTGTTCTTGCAGCTTCTCCAACTAAAGGTCAGAAACAGAGGGGGTCAGCCATCGCTCTGAAGGAGTTGGAGACTGACACCATTAAATAAGTCACACTGAATCAATTAAGAACCAAAGATCAATCGATACAGACAGCAAAAATCCATACAATACAACGTCTGTGTTCCCAAGCCTCTACTATGCGTGGCTGTGTGTGAACCACCTCTCTTCGTCCGGCAAGCTAAACATGCAACTGCACACTCACTCTCAACTAGGGTTGCAATAGTAGGATTTTTTTCACAGTATGATAACGCCATCCATCCATCCATCCATCTGCTTATCCGGAACCGGGTCGCGGGGGCAGCAGTCTAAGCAAAGTATGATAACTGTCTCAGAAAATATCACATCTTCATGGTATTACACAGTTATTATTATCAGCTACAATTACCCTCAAAGGAATGAAAACAAAATGGCCCTTTGTTAATTGCAGGTGACTGTGCTAGTTGACTGACTTACCCTAGAGAATAATCAGAATTATCCGTCCATCTAAATCTAAATAGGGTCACAAGGGGCTGGAGCCAATCACAGCTGACACTGGGCAAGAGGCAGGGTCCACCCTGATCAGGTGACCAGTCTATTACAGGGCTGACACGTAAACAAACAACCACACTCTCACTCCGTCCTACGGGCAATTTAGAGTCGCCAACAAACCTAAGCTGCATGTCTTTGGACTGTGGGAGGAAGCCGGAGTAACCGGAGAGAACCCACACAGGCACAGGGAGAACATGCAGACTCTGCACAAAGAGGCCCCAGGTCGGACCGGGGTCCAACCCGGAGCCTCCTTGATGTGACGTGACAGCACTAACCAGCGCGCTGCTGTGCCAATATAATCAGAATTAAAAAAAAAAAAAAAAAAAAAAAGGTATACACCTATAACATGCTATATTATAAAAGCATGTTACTTTGCATGTTAGCACAAGTTGTGACATATGCCATCACAGTGCTCTAAAGGAGTGTCAAAATAGTTGCAAATTTGCTGTAGGTGCGCGACAGCACGGCCAAACTTATCCTGTCTGTACCTTCACTTGCACAGACACACACACTCACTTTTGTGAACCAGGAAAGTTTGTGCGTGTGTTTCTGGAGTCAGATCAGGATCAGTGAGCTCTGTTGCAAGTCAGAGATTAGTGAACAAACAGACAATGTGGAAAATTATTTAGCACGTTTTATGATCGATATCTGCACAGAGGGATGGTGTTCTTGACGGTGCTCATTTTTGAGATATCCAAATTAATCCAACACTGATTTTAATTTCTTTTTAGTGGATTGAGGTTGGTGTTATCAGCCTCGCTTCTCTCTGCCATCTGCTGCATGTGGCTCCCATTGCAGAGCTGACAGGCAGTTGGGGAAGAAAGGTGCACACGTGTTGGTTTTTTCCCCATACTGGTAATAAGTAAATGTGCATGAATAACCGTCAAGTTTCATACCATGCTATACTGTGAAACCAGTATACCACTACAACCCTAATCTCAACTCTTCACGGTCAAAGGTAATAACAGAAGTAATAAGCCATTTTATTTGCAAGGACATGCACTCATTAGCAGGCTGTTGAAAATTATGACTACAGATGGATGATACTGACCCTGAAACTACAAACTTCAGCAATGAAAAGCATCTAGTTCTAGCAGCATTAACTGTTCACTACTGCTGGTGTGGCGGTGGCCATAAGGTCTTTTTTAAAAACTTGATAACTGAAAACAAATATTCTTCACAATTTTTTGTTGCTATTTTGCCATTAATATGTTTTTAGCGACTGTCATTTAGACTGCATTAATTTGTAATATAAAGTTAAAACATTATATAAAAACCAAGTCTAACAGAAGCGAGCTGTTTTTGTATCCAGTACCGATACATCTGAATATACAAACACCCCAAGTGCAAAAACAAACATCAAGCTGTGGTTTGAAAAACACAGTAACTGCTCTGTGTTATCTGACACTTGTTATTCCTCCTCATAGGAACACATTTCAGTGCTCATCAACATGCAGTGCCTCAAATTGGTCTGAGCAGCAGGGAGGTAACGATGTAAGCCAGGAAGGAACAGTCACATTTTATTCCTCTAGCTCTCACAGAAAACTGTAAACATAGGACCTGTTCAGATAATCAGGTAACCTTTATGGGAGGTGGTGAGGTAACTGAATGAGAACAAAAGCCCCAAAGCCTAACACAACCAGCTAAAGCTGATCTCTCCATGAACAAAGCCCAATTCAGGTAAGGGTTTTTCCCACTGTGGAAAATGATAGGATGGGAGGAAAGGCGTGTTTAAAGGGCAGCAGCTAATATTAGCAAGTCTTATCTGGACAAAGTGCATGTTGACTAAGGAAGTGACGGAAGATATCACTTTGGGTTCCATGCTATTCCCCAAGGAAGTCACGGAAGCTTAGGCAAATTGAACTGATGACCATCAAAATGACTGGGAAATCACCCAGGCTCATCAAGACCACTCAGTCTCACTCTGATTCTGGCAAGAGATGATGGGGCTATCACGCAATATCCTGTACCCATACAAAAAAATGGAGGGAGATGTGGTTCACAAATAGCAAGCACCTGTTGTCTTTTCAATATGATCCATGAGATGTTGCAGCATCTGTTTGGACTGTTTCAGTACATATCTGAGTAAAAGCCGTATCTGCATGAAATAAGATGGCTGTGTAAATGTACCAAAAAAAACAGTTCACCAATTATGCCCCTAAATAAGATTGGGGGTAGGGGTGTTGTGGCTATCTTCTAGAATCGTAACATGAAACAGCGGATGTCGGTTTCATGGTTTCCATCTCGGTTTCAGAATGGTTACAATCTGAAACACAACTCAAGATGCAGGGCTTCAGACACAATTTCACACACAACCCTGGCCTCAGGCTCTGCAAACTACCTGCAGTGCTTCCCATAAATTGACTTGTTTGTGGCGAGCCACCACAATATCAACACTGATCACCACAAATTGATTTAAAATTAAATTAAATTAAAATTATTTCAGTGTAGTGCTGTGTGTAGCGCATGTATTCGTTCAGTCCCTCTTGTGCCCCACAGTGTTTCTCTCACACACACAGAAAGACATGATAACCAAGACAACAGACCGTCTGTGAACAGCTCCTTCTCTCTGTTTTAAATACAGAGATCCAACTCTTTTAATGTTATTAGCAAGCTAGTAAGGCTAGCTAAGTTAACGTCAGAAAACAGCTGTTGCTGAGATCAGCATGTTGTATATAGCATGGATGTATAGGAACTGCTCTGGATACAGTTAATGCTAGTTCAAAAACTGATGCTGAATGCCTGCCTCGTCCAGAGACTTATTGAAAAACACACGTGGAAAAGCTGACGAGTCTGATCAATATGATTAGTGGTCCAATATTGTTCTGAATATTTCTTGGTTTCAACCAGTGTTGCTGAAGCAGCAAAAGAGGATCAGGAAGAGAGAGCTGAAGAGAGAGATGTAGGAGGAGGGCAGCAGCTGACATGCTCCTGCTGTGCAAGAGCCGGTGCAAAAGGGACAGGTCAAATGAACAGCACCGTATCAGGGTTTCCACCCAGCTGTTCTTAAGAGTGGAAACAATGCAAATTTTAAAAAATATATAGTATTACCATGTCACAGTTGTATGCCTCCGCCCTCCAGTCAGGCTGCAGTGTGCATGCATGTCTGTCTAGACTCATATAATATATGAAGTGAAGATTTTGATGGAATACAACAGGGTAAATATTTCATACAATTTTTGCACAAAAAGCCAACACATGGTAATATGCCTTACTTTTCCACATTGTAGGTTTAGCTACATGGAGTTACACCCATAACAACTTGAGAACTACACCCTGAAGGCCAACAGCAGCCAAAATAAACCAGAGGCATCACTTCCAACGAATCCCCTGAACTGTTATTACTGGACAGATTACCAAAAGTCCATTTGGGCATAACAGCCTTGTTGCAGCAAGTGTGACTAACAGCAGAGAAACATGAGGGTGTAGGGGTGTGAGTGTACCTGCTGGGGTCCATCCCCGTTAACCATGGCTGGGGGAGGTGGTGAGGCTAGGATTGGGAGTTCAGGATTGAGAAGCTGGCCAGACTCCAGGGGTGGGGTGTGGTCTGCCATGTCTCCCTCATTCACACCACTGAAGAGGTACTCCTGCAGCAAAGACAGAGTGTTCAATGGCAATGTTCAAGGACCTCAAAGGTTTTGTCATCATTATCTTGATTCTCCCAGCCAGTCAGCAGACCTGTGCTGAGGAGTACAGTGACCCACAATGTCCACAGGATGCAGCTTCTCTCCTCCATTACTTGCTTTATGAGCAAAATGATCACATGCATTTGTATAATGTTGGGATGTGAAAAAACACTGCACCCAATTATCCTATCAACCGATTTAAAAAGTAACTTCCTTCAAGTCACAAAGTAAGAGTAAAATACACACTAGGCATCAGGTGGCAAATTGTACTGTGCATGAGGTCTGTCAGCTAATGGCAAATTAGTGAGCATAACAGTAGGTCTGTCTAGTATTAATACAATGAATTTTAGGGAGAGGGCACATGACAAGAGAGAAGGAAATTAGCAACTCTATATGGAAAATGTCAACTCCTGCAATAAAAAAAAAAAGACAGGCAGCATAACAACCTCTCTGAAGAACATATACTTTGCTGTTTGATGTGCTCTCACATCCCTCGCATAACAAACACAAATATACAGGAGCCTACCATCAACAAACACAAATCAAACTAAAAGGGATTATAGATAAGCTCATGTTGAGTCAACCCCTATAAGAGTATCCACAGAAGATACAGGTGCTTTTAAGATGCTGCCATGAAAGGACTAAAAAGGCAAAGAGCCATAAAGAGAACTAATAACTTATAGGGAAATAATGAAAAAATATTACATGGCTAATAAAAATCTGTCAAAAAAAAAAAAAAACCATGAGAAAAATGAAACATGTCTCCTTGAACCCAATTACAATCTAGCGCATGCGTTCCTAAACTTCACAGTGATCGGGCTTATCTGAGCTTTAGCCCCTCCTCTCCTTAAGCTTCAACAAAGTCAGTGTACAGTGGGCTGGTCAATGAACCGGATTTGAAAAAAGTACTGCTACAGTAAAGGACTGACATGAGATGAGCCTAGTATTACTAGAGTCGAATTCTTTAGATAATAGCAGGCTCCTGCAATGGTCATTAGGTGTCCAAATCACATACCTGGCAGCTGCCTAGGTGTCAGCGAAAGGAGAATTAACAAAGGAGAGATATCTGATCAAAGGCAATTTTCTTTGTTATATTTGGGACTAACTAACCACCTTTCATATACTAAAATGAAATTGTTCTCACACATGAGAAAGATTTGAGTTCATTATTCATTTTTCAAAACACAATGCATCATGATTAGGGCAAATTCGCACTTTTTGTATACTTCAGTTATTCAAGGGTCAGAGGGTGTCATATGCTGTACATATTATATAAAATATGAGCACTTTGTGCAGTTTCAATCTACTCCTCATTACTCTTATGCCTTGTCCAGAAAAAGATGTGGCAATAAATAAATACCCATTAATAAATAATCACCACAGCTTCCTATTAAAAATAGTGAAAAACACCTGGCTCTGTTGTTAAAACTCCCATTGGGGTATCATTACAGCACAGCCTTTCCTGTTGCAGTGCAATAAACATGACTATTTTGAAATTAGGGTAACAGCTGTTGTTTCCCTGATTGTACATCATATTTGACTGTGGCTAAAAGAGCAGTCCATAAGAGCATAACAGCTGTTTTTCAGTTGCGGTTTTGGTGAAGGGGAAAACACCTTGAATAGGTGGAATAACAGGCTGTTCTGTGTGCCCAGTACTTCAGCTTATTCTTCATTGTAAAGAGGTGGACAAAGCCAGAGACAAAGTCTTAACAATAATAAGTAAAAAATAAGATTTCCTGTGTATAACAAATTGGAAATTTTATAATTACAACAACTCACATGTTTAAGCAATACGTTTTTTTGCTGGGACATCTGGAAAAAATGTTTTCCCCATGTCAGCCAGCAATACGTGATGTAACAGCTGACTAGCCATTTACTGTACTGCGTGTATCTGCATAGCCCTACCGTTGTCCACTTAGCTAACCCTATCGCTGCCGTACACATTAATGTTACAAAGTCCGTTAGCTATAAACATGAACTCAGTTATAGTAACAAGTAACACTGTTAACATTAAAGTCAATTTTCATGGTTAATGTTAACTTAGCTAATGTTCTGTATTTACCACAGCTACGTTAAGTAGCTAGGTAGTAGTAAAGTTAAGTTAGCTTCCTTGCAGCCAAGACTATTGTTTACTCTGGCTACAGGTGCGTATTAGCGTTGACATAGCTGTTCGTTGTCTGACTGCAATACACCATTACACTCATCGGATTAACAAACGATAATCTTAAGTTTGTTTCGGGTTCCTTTAACATAACCACATTTAAGATAATACACTCGGAGACTGTGCTAGTAATTAAGTTACCAAAAGCGCAGCTACCATTACTCACTCAGTCGGTTGCCACAGCAGCAGCAGTCTTGACTGACACGATGCACAGAGATTATTCCTCTGAAACTCTTCCTGAAATGTTCAACGTCAGCAAGCTCCGATGAGCAGGTACTTTCTGCAACACCTGAGACGGATAACCTGCTAGCTACCTAGATAAACACAAGACAAGGCAAAATGTGGCATGCTAGCGTTAGCTACCTAATGCTACCTAGCTAGTAGTTAGCAAGATGAAGATGTGCTTTTCTCGTAATATGAACGGCGATCGCTGATATTAACTACACCCAAAACCGATCGAAGTAACTAGCAAGTTACAGCGACGATGCTAAGTATCAATGACGTTACCCTAAATGGCAGTTTTTATCGAGATAACTTTTCATCCAACCCTGTTCCTCGCATAAAAGGTAGGAATTTCGCCATCGCTTACAGGGCTCTGTGCGCATGCGTATTGCAGTAAATGATGAGTCCCAAATTACAAGTTTGCTGCGAAAAAAAAACTCTTTAGTGCTGTTATGGTTAGTATCGTTGACGTGATCAGTACCCGGTACATTTATAGTGAACTTCATATGCCCTCCTACATTTACACGATTTACGGAAGGCCTTAGGGTTGACGTGTCTGTGATCGGTTCGTCAACCAAATCAGTCAGAGAATTATATGTACTTATTTGGGGCGGCCAAGAAAAACCGCTTTGATTCACGTAGCTATTTAAGACTGTTGGGTATTTTTAGTCAGATAGATATTGGTTAGATACTTGATGTATTGGAAATGTTTAGTGTAGACAGGATGTCTAGCTCAGGCTGTTAAATGTTTAGTCATTCTCATGAGTTGCTGCAGGTTGCTTATGGTCAAAGATAAATAGATAGAAAGTTGATGACTGTTAGAAGACAGGATGTTTAATATTATTATTATGACGTGTATAACTGTAGCCATAGCCATAATATTTTCTTATGTTTAATGTCATGACATGTCACTAGAGGTCGTGTTAGAAGGTTTTAGCTACACACCACATAATCAACAGACAATCACACATTGATTTTTCTTCATGCTTTGACTACTGCTCTGGCCAGCTGCAAAGCTGGCAGTGTTCCACGGCCAGGACGAAAACCGCATTGTTCCTCCTGAATCCGAGGTTCGACTATCGGTCGAATTCTCCTCTCCAGTACCCTGGCATAGACTTTCCCGGGGAGGCTGAGGAGTGTGATCCCCCTATAGTTGGAACACACCCTCCGGTCCCCCTTCTTAAAAAGAGGGACCACCACC